CCAAGACTCCACCACCTACTTTTCCAAGCATGATCTCCTTCTTGACTGAATTAATAACCTAATCCAACTCCTTGCCATGGAGCTGCTTCTGAATCATATGACCCTATAGGGTTTCTGAGACTATAAACCATTAGGGAAGCAGACAGCCTCATCTGACCCCTGAGGCAGCTGGCAGGTTTGAACCACTGACTTTGTGGTTAGCAATCTAATGCTTACACACAGTGCCACCAAGTCTCCTTATTAAATCAATTGTTCCCCACAATCCAGGTGAGGAGATGCTACATGGCAAAGAAGCTGAGGCATACATGTGCCCAGTGGCTATATGAGAATGATTTTAAAAAAAACTGTGGCAAGATGGAATGAGAAGAGAATAGAATTTTTCCACTAACTTTTCATATCCGTCTTGTATGATGTTTATTGATAAAGAGTCATTTGTTTGTCTATTCCTTATTGTGAGACATTTCGTTTACACTGTTACAAGCTTTGGATAATATTGCAAAGAATGGGAATTCAAGAACATTTCGTTGAACTCATGCAGAACCTGTGCATATTACAAGAGGTATTGGTTCGAACAGAACAAGTGGATGCTGCATGGTTTAAAGACAGGAAAGGTGTGTGCCAGGGTTGTAGCCTTTCACCATGTTTATTTAATCTGTATGCTAAACAAATAATCCAAGAAGCTGGACTATATGAAGAACTTGATGTCAGGATTGGAGGAAGGTTCATTAACAACCTGCAATATGCAGATGACTAAACGAAAGAGGACTTGAGACACTTGTTAGTGACTATCAAAGAATACAACCTTCAGTATGGATTACAACTCAATGTAAAGAAAATAAAAACCCTTACAAGTAGAGCAATAAACAACATCATTATAAATGGAAAAAGATTGAAGTTGTCAAGAATTTAAATTTACTTGGATCCACAGTCAATGTGCATGGAAGCAGATGTCAAGAAATCAAATGATGTATTGCATTGGACAAATGGGCTGCAAATGACCTCTTTAAAGTGTTAAAGAACAAAGCTATCACTTTGAGGACTAAGGTGTGCCTGACCCAAGTCATAGTATTTTCAATCGCCACATATGCATATGAAAGCTGGACAATGAATGAGGAATACTGTAGAAACATTGATGCATTTGATTATGGTATCGACCAAGACTATTGAAAGTACCATGGACTGCCAAAAGAACCAACAAACCTGTCTTGGAAGGAGTATAGCCAGGATACTTCTGAGAAGTGAAGCTAGAGAGACTTCATCTCCCGTACTTTGTACATATTATTAGAAGGGACCAGTCCCTGGAAAAGGACATCATGCTTGGTAAGTAGAGTCAGTGAAAAAGAGAAAGACTCCCAATGGCATGGTCTGACACAGTGACTGTAGTAACAATGGCCTCAAACATAACAGCCGTTGTGAGGATGGTGCATGAGCAGGCAGTGTTTTCTTCTGCTGTGCTGTGAGTGGAGCCTACTCAAGGATACCTAACAGCAACAATATAACAAACGCTGTGTGATGAGCATGCCTCATCATGTAAAGTGGGGCTCTGCACTGCAGGTAGGCTGTCTCTAATTGGAAGACGGAGCTGTCTTAGCCCTTTACTTCTCTGTGGAGGGTCCTCACAGTAGACCACACATCTCAAGTTGTCTCTGGATGAGCGAGTGTTGTGATGTTCTTGGAGATGCGCCACTCAAATCCCTATTCAAAGGAGATGCTATTGTTCCAGCTGTAGGCAGCCCTTTCAGCTATTCCCTGAGCTTCTGAGAGTATTTCACCCAAGGTCACACTTTCTCCAAAGACAAGCCACAGCCAATGAGTGACTGAGACAGAGATATAAAGGCCCAGTCATTTCAGCCCAAAGTGAGACAACTCTAATATTTCTAACAAGACTGTAGTCGGGTCTACATTGCAGCTTTACTTCTCCTCCCCTAATAAACATACTGTGCATTAAAGTCCATCTCAGAAAGTTCTTCCCAGAGAACCCAACCTGTGACAATTGTTCTCTTTGCTTAGGGTAAGAATGTGTCCAAAGCTTCTCCCTACCTAGGTTGATCATGTGGAGACTAGGAAGGAAAGGAAGGAAAACTTGAAAGGGAGAAAGGAAAATTCTTGATAGGAGACAACTCTCTTAACACTTAGAAATGTGCCACAAAGCGTTGGAGAATTCCACAGTTCCTAGGACAGAGGAGACCTAGTTCAATATATAGGGACAGGGTAAGAAGGGAGACACTGTAGATTCTTAAACATGTGTTTTATATCCAATATATATCTTGGAAACTAAACTTTTCAGAGCTAATGCATAGTATTCTAAACAAAGTTTTTTCTTCCTATTATGAAAGTAATACGTGCTTATCATAAAAAATTTAGAAGAGACAAATGAAGAAAATCAATTACCATAGACTTGATTATTTTATATAAAGCACACACCATTTATATAATTCTGTTATAGTGCCTTTGCACTTAATGTTATAACAAGCTTTTTGGGTTAATGCACTGACCTGCAAGGTCGGTTTGAACTGCAAGGTCGGTGGTTCAAGCGCACCGGCTGCTCCTCAGAAACCCTACACAAGGTCGCTATGAGTAGGAACTGGCTCAATGGCACTTAACAACAGCAACAACCATCTCTTCATAAAAAGTATTTTTACTTTCTGTGTTATATAATATACAGAAAATCCTTGTGAACGGAATTTGTTCTTAGTGTGTCTAAGTTGAATTTGTAGCTAATTCAGAACAAATCCATGTGGTTTTATTTAGCTTTACTTTTCAATTATTTAACAACTGCACATGTTGCAAGTGAAAGTGATTGTGATGAAGAATTTGTTGGGAGTAGAGGTCGGTTCAGGAGCCATGGTGGCACGGGGGTTAAGTACTTGGCTGCTAACTGAAAGGTCAGCAGTACAAATCCACCTTGCTACACAAGAGAAAGATGTGGTCATCTGTTTTCATAAAATTACAGCCTTGGAAACCCCATGGAACAGTTCTACCCTTTTTTATAGGGGTATGTTGGAATCGACTTGATAGTAGTGAGATTTTGTTTTGGAGGGGTTCCTTCCATTGTTTCAAAGTGAGAGCACATCTCTGAGGATCAAACCTATCCCCTTTGTACACAAGGTTGATAGGGCCGGTCACTTTTGACATTGACTACCTAAAATGTGGGGGCTATAAAACCATTTGGCTGGCTTACAAGTTTTCAAGAGGGAGTTTAGTTTCAGAGCGTGCAGGGGAAGTTAGAGTTCCACTGAATAGTTTTCCTCTTGTCTAGATGAGTCTGGTGAAAGGAGATGGGGATAAGGTTCTTATGATTCAGTAGTGAGTAATTGTTATCATGACTAATTGTGATTGTTACAACTGTAAAGGTAGAAGTTTTGTAACATTAGGGGGGAGTAGTTAATCTTACAGTCCAGGAACAGAAGACCCAGGACCATCAAGGGACAAGAGCAGGAGTGGAATGTGGAACCCTATCCAGAGAAGCAATGGCACCAGAGATGGAGGCAGAGATGAGGACATGGAGAGAGAGAGAGCTGCTGAGGACTCCAGACTCATGGAAAGAGAAAGACTGTGTGCTGTCCGCCAGGAGGCAGGCTTGCAGAGGGAATAGAAGCAAATACTGTTGAATGATGATACATGGAGGGGATTGTAATTATTGCAATGAAATGAAATACGATAGGATGAGTGCAAAACCGATGTTCTCCCACGTAAACTATCACTCAATTCACAATAAAAGTTTTGAAAAAAACCCCACACAAAACAAAGTGAGGGCAAATTTAATAACATTAAAGGGTAACTAGGAGTTGTCCTTAAGTCTGATGTTTACGATCCGAGGTCTACTTGTACTATGGTTTTTTGAAGTATAATATTGAGTATTTTAATTGATTATAACATTAGATATTATAAATGACATTGCAAAGACATCCTTGTGTGCAAAAAAATTTTCCTGTGTTTAATAGTTCCTTGGGATAGATTCCCAGAACTGGAAAAACTGGATCCAGGGATTTGAACATAGGCTTTGATTCACTAAATTGCTTTCCTGAAGGATAATACTGGTTTTCATGTTCACTTTTTGTTATGGAATAATGAGCAGTGTGTAATTTTGTACCACCCTGGGTGGCCAGAGATCAGGTGGGGAAGCCTGCAGCAAAGATGAACACACAACCAACCTGCTTTTGATTAGGGGGCCTGCTTTGATTAGGGGGCCTTTCCAAATGGACATGGTCCAGCCTTAACTAGCTAAGGATCCAACACTCACTAGAATTCAGTATGTAATATTCTAAGAATGAGTCAGTCCCAACTTCCAAATGAGTTTGAATCTTAAAATAATAACCACAAACTTTTTTGAGACTGGTTTTATGGGTATCCGGATTCATCAAGAAATTCTATCGTAGCCATGCCTTGGTGAGAAGTTCTGAGTAAACATGCAATTCCTCTATTTAAGTCCTCATTTCCTGCAAAGATACCAAAAGAGCTTTGCATTTCTTTTTGTTTTTTTGTTTGTTTGTTTGTTTTTTAACCAAGATACCACATTTGATTTGCTCTCGTTATCCTTCACCCAAATTCATTTCATAAGATGTACTGATTTTCAAACACTATAATCACTCAGTTCTACTGGGTTTTCTCTGACTGCTGGAGAAATTGTGGGCCATATCTGAGTCACACACATTTTACTGCGTCTCCCCTGGCATGAGATTCATGTACATTGGCATCTTCTCAGAGTGAAGTTGACTCTTTTTCTATATATCCCAATTCCAGAATTTCATTTGGCACATTGTGATTCCAAAACAGTTGGGAGATCATTTTGACTGGCCCAGCCCAATTCACTCTGAGAGGTTCCCTGTCTTTTAGTGAATGGCCACAGAATCTTTCGCTCTTGGCCCTGTTTCTAATAATTGCCACTCTTGCATGGACTATGCCAAAGCAGCACTTTGAAACATGCATCCATACTATGTGGCTTTTCTTGCTGTAGTTTCTGTTTTTGTTTTGTTTTGTTTTGTTTTGTTTTATTGTAGGATCGGGAGACTCACCGCTAGAAGAAGTTGAAGCTGAATATTCACACACTAGATATAAAGGTGAATGCTTTGCTTATGTGCTAACGTGGATCTGCTGTTGCCAGAACTTTTCTTAGTCCTGTGGAGCAGACTGCAATAAAGTGACCAGATGGCACATCTAAGTTTGAATTGCCTGTCCAGAGAAAATCTTTTTTCAAATAAATATACATATGCTCCCATTAAAAAAAAAAAGAGAGAGAGAGAGAGAGAACAAATTTGGAAATCTCTAAGTTGTCCTTCAAGACCTGGATGGTCATTTTATTTTCATAAGTTTCTTATCTGCCCTCACTTCTGCAAAGCCAAGCTCTAGCTGATGAAAATGAAAATCAAGCCACAAGCTCTGCCTGATTCATACATTACGGCCGGGGATCATCCAGAGTGAACCACCCAAGGTCAGGTCTGGACCCAGAGCTGTTAATGTTTGGAGATGAATGGGGAATGAGAAAACTTGATTTTCATAGGCTCATTTCAGCATGCTCACCAGCTTGGCTTTAGAAATGATAAGTAAAGTGTGTTGCCCAGTTAATCCTTAATGATTAAAGAACTACACATTTCCAGCAACCCACCCACAGCAGGTATAAAAAGCCTAACCAAAAACCTTCCTTGCAGGCACAGGTAAGTTTGACCTTCATTCTGTCTAAGGGTGAGCCATTTATCTGATTGCTTAGTGAGCCCCAGGGAAGCTAAGGGTAAATTTAAATATTCTCTCTCTGAATCTGGTTCCTCTTACAGTGGAAGGATCATTTGAAAACAATTGGTTAGCAAAGTTCTATTGTGGCATTTTGCCCATGTTATTTCCCCACATTTTGGCAAAAGGGCACTGCCCACTCTGTTGTGATGTGTCTGAATCATAGAAGAACTAGAACAGTGCTGATAGGAACACACGTTCTAATATAATGACTGGCTCCTATGTCTGAACATGTTTTGCAATACATTTCTCATTCATGTGTCATCTGTAAATTCAAATATTTGTTCCTATGCACAGCTCCTGTGTTCATGTTGTTGTTAAGTGTCATCAAGTTGGTTCTGACTCATAGTGACCTTGTATAGAGTTTTCGAGCAGCGGCTGGTTGATTTGAACTGCTGACCTTGTGATTAACAGTGCAGTGCTTATCCTACAGCTCCATACCTTATGTTCATAGCCTCAGGAATTAATTAATCAAGCAAATCACACACTTGTTATTTAGATGTGTGGGGTAAGGAGGTGTTCTGATTCATAAAACTTCTTGATTAATAACACCCAAACCCACTGTTGTCGAGTTGGTTCTGACTTACAGTGACGCTATGAGTCAGACTAGAACAGTCTTATAAGATTTCCAAGGCTGTAAATCTTTACCGAAACAGACGACCACATCTCATTGAGTAGCTGGTAGTTTCAAACCACCCACCTTTTGGTTAACTGCGGAATATTTAATCATTGAGTCCCTAGATTGTTGTAGTTCTTGTTAAGTGCTGTTGAGTCCATTCTGACTCACAGCGAACCTCTATAGGGTTTAAAAGGAACACCTGTAAGGTTTGAACCACCATCCTTGGGGGTACCAGTCCAGGGCTCATCCTACAGTGGCACAGCAGGACTCCCTGAGCCCATAGGACCCCCACTTAATTAAATAGAGAGCTTTTACATCTCCCTTTTTCCTTGTTTAAAAATATTTTTACGACATACATGAGCCTTTGCATGTACTGTAGGGGTTGTTTAGTGCCCTTGGTCATTGTTCCTAATTAATGTCCATGCTCACAGCACAGCATTTCAAGTGTAAACAGTCAAATATGAGGGGAAATTAAAAAGTCCATTGGAAAGTTCAAATTTTCCACAAACTTTTTGAAGCTTTTCAATACACTTTGCCCCTCTGTCAACAAGCTTTCGTATTCCCTTACTAAAAAAAATGTTTTAGACTGAGCTGCGAGCCATGAATGTGCTGCTGTCTTCACTTCTTCATCAGAGGCACATCTTTGTACTTGAAGGGCTGCTTTCAGGGGATCAAACAGGTGAAAGTTTGATGGAGCAAGATCAGGGCTATAGGGAGGATGCTTGAACACCTCAAAATGAAGTTTTTACAGACTGTCAAGAATGTGGGCAGAGGTGTGCAGATGTGCATTGTCATGCAAGATCACAAAGCCCTTAGATAGCAGTCCTCTGCATTTTGTCCGAAGTTTAGGTTTTAGCTCTTCAGTGAGCATCTCACTATAATAACCACTGTTGATTATTGAACACTTTTCCTGATAGTGTTCCAATACTGGCCCTTGAGAGTCCCAAAAAACTCTAAGCATCAATTTTCCAGCTGATGGTTGACTTTTGAACTTTTTCTTGGTCAGCAACTGAGGATGTTTCCATTCCATACTCTGCTGTTTACCCTCAGACTTGAAGTTATGAACCCATGTCTTGTCACCAGTAACGGTTTTTTTTAAAAAAAGAAATGTTTACCTTCCTTCAAGTATTGGTCCAAATTTTGTTTGCAGATGTCCAAACGCTTATGCTTCTGCTTTTCCATGAGTGGTTTTGATACCCATCTCATACTCATTTTGAAACCCAAGTGTCTCATGGATTATTTCATAGGCAGAGCCATGACTGATTTGCAAATGATTTGCCACATAATCCACTGTCACTCGTCTATTCGACAGAATCATTTCACGTGCACACCTAATGTTGTCATCAGCCATGGACTGGCATTTTAATACAACTGGAGTGAGGACTATTTTGACTCACCCTTGTATGTTAATCATTTTGATCATTCAAGTTAACTAGTGGTGTTTGCATGCATTTCAAATTCAAGTTACTCACTGGCATTTTAATTATTGTCACTGCAGGGTGATTAAAGTGTCACAATATCTTCCAAAGGTATGTCTTGGAAAGTAGTGGGTAGAAAAATCCCTTTCGTGTGTAAATGAAAACAAGAGGTTTCCACATGTTGCCAACAGCATTGATTTTGGATATCTGGCCAGCACTGCTAGGAATGTTTGAAGACCTAGAATATGGGTGTTGTTGTTGTTGTTAAGTGCTCTGGAGTCAGTTTTGACTCATAGACCCTGTATAGTTTCCAAGGGATCGGAAAGCCTCATCTTTCTCCCATGGAGTGACCGGTGGGCTAGTCCAGTGCTTATCCTCTAGAGCCACCACACTCCCGATTATGCTGGTGGGAGAGGTAAATTTGCTGCACTGAAATATGTGAATTGTGATCTATGTATATGCAGGTCATTCTCCAAGGACCAATTCCATCCTCATCTCCAATGGTGATTTCATTTACTTTCTCTGGAGAGGGCACAGTCCTCATTCAAGGGTTCTACAATATGGCTGGCATGATGTTGGAAAAGAGGCAGTAAAGGAGACCCAATTGCAATTAGAGAGGAAGGCTGGAGTTAGGGAAGCTGAGAAACAATGCCGTCTCAAAGGGAAACAGGACCAGGCAGGGAAAGTAAGAGGAAACGAGGTAGTCAGCAGATTAGGGAACATTGGGAAATAGATAATGAAGTAAAGCAATAGATGATTTCATAAGATTTAACACTATGGAAGTCTTCTGACAAACTATAAATAAATGCATCTTTGAGATTACAAACACCAAATACGTTTTTCAGTTTCCTTGTAGGTGATCTTTCCTACTGCATTTGGAAAAGGAGACAGAGAGAGGGAGAGAGGGAATTCTACCTCATTGCTAGGAGTCATAGGATCCATTAGTTTCAAATTCCGTATTGGTTGAATGGTAGGAATCTATGGCTTTCACCAGAATTGATTTTAAGGCCCTTTGATTATGGAAGACAGTGAGTGAAATATGCACAGCTTGCCAATGCTAACTAAACATATCCTAAGGGCCTCTCTCTTAACCTGTGACCTTGAAATTTTCTAGCTTTATGTTAACCCAGAGCCATCTCTAAAGAAAGAACAAAAACATTTAAAATTGCTTCAAGAATCCTTTTATACTTAGAAGCAATTAATAGAAATACATATGCTGTTTTGTACTTTACTTCAGGGTCTAGAATTCTCTCATTTAAAAATGTTGTTGCATACAGACTATATGAAGAAAGAACTTTGTTCAGGGAAGTGGGTCTGGTGTGGACTCCTGGAAATTTAGATCTACATGGACAAATGGAGTCAGCTCCAGATTAAGCCCTCTCTCTTCGTGGTACAAAAAACTAAGCAGTCAGCTACTAACCATAAAGGATGGAGGCTCACATCTATCCACAGGGATCTTGGAATAAAGGCTTGGAAATCTACTTCTAAAATATTATAGTCATTGAAAAACCTGTACTCTGAAACACATGGGATCATCATGAACCAGAATCAACTCGCTAGTAACTAGTCTGTTGTTCTGCTACAGGTTAAGCCTTCAGGACCTCATTTTTCCCTAGTAAATCTAGGATATACTACTTAAATTCTGACTTCATGACTCTTGCAGCTGTCTGCAAAACACTATACAACGACAGCATTAGACAAAGGGAACTTGAAAGTATAAAAGTAAATAGCAGTCAGTGTCCAAAACCTAGACTGAACTATTGTTTCTATGGCCGAGAAACAGAAGTACATTCTAAAGGGATTCTTGGAAAAATAAAACAAGGTCTGTCATACTACCTGGACACTTGGTGTTGCACTTACCCCACTCACTGACAGCTCAAGTGCTGGGTGGGCTGATGAACTAGACAGCTGTAGGGAAGTAGCTGGTGATTGTGGATTAAGAGTCTACAGGTGTGAGAGAATGGTCATTGGCCCCACCAATTAGGGTAATCGCCACTGTGGGGATTTTTCTACTGAAGGGCTAGTTCTGTCCTTATATCTTCATTGATCTCAGAGAAGGCCTTCCAAAGGCCCAAGAGGAATGTTCTGACGGATTAGTTGTCCCCTGAGCAACTATGTGACCAAAACTAAAACACTCAGGAAGCTTGCCATTTGAAAAGGGCTCTCTATGAGCTCACCTAAATGGAGCATGTCTGGGGACATTTGAAAACGGGATACTTCACTGTGACTGTTATTGCTGTTGTTAGGTGCCATCAAGTCAGTACCAACTCATAGCAACTCTATCCACAACAGAACAAAATACTGCCTGGTCCTGTGCAAATCTCACAATTGTTTCTACGTTTGAGCCCATTGCTGCTGCCACTGTGCCAATCCATGTCATTGGGGGGCTTCCTCTTTATCTCATACCCTCCACTTTACCAACAATGATATCCTTCTCCAGGACCTGGTCCCTGCAGATAATATGTATGAAGTATGATAGACGAAGTCTGCTATCCTGGCTTCCAAGGAGCATTCTGGATGTACTTCTTCCAACAAAGACTGGTTTGTTCTTTTGGCAATTCATGGTGCTTTTAATATTCTCCTCCAACACCATAACTCAAATGCATCAAGTCTTCTATGGTCTTCATTATTCACTGTCCAGCTTTTGCATGCATATGAGGTTATTGAAAATACCATGGCTTGGGTCAGGCACACCTTAGTCCTCAAGTTGACATCTCTGCACTTCAACACTTTAAAAAGATCTTGTGCAGCAGATTTGCCTAATACATCACTTTTCCTTGACTGCTGTTTTCATGAGTGTTGATGATTGATCTGAGCAAAATGAAGTCTTCAACAACTTCAATCATTTCTCCATTTATATGGGTGTTGTTTATTGGTCTCGTGGTGAGGATTTTTGTGTTCTTTACATTGAGGTGCAAACCATACTGAAGGCTGTAGTCTTTCATCTTCATCAGTAAATATTTTAAGTCCTCTTCACTTTCAGCAAGCAAGGTTGTATCATCTGCATATCATAGGCTGTTAATGAATTTTCAGCCAATCCTGATGCCACATTTGTCTTCATATAACCCAGCTTCTCAAATGATGTGCTCAGCATACAGATTGAATAAGTATGGTGAATGAAGAATACAACCCTGGTGCACATCTTTCCTAATTTTAAACCATTGAATGTTCCTTTGTTCTGTTCGAACTGCCTTTTGGTCTATATACAATTTTCTCATGAGCACAATTAATATTCCTGAGTACTCATTCTTCACAATGTTATCTATAGTTTATCATGATCCTTACAGTTGAAACTCTTTGTGTAGTCAATAAAGCACAGGTAAACATCTTTCTGGTATTCTTTGCTTTCAGCTAAGATCCATCTGACACCAGCAATGATATCCCTCATTCCACATCTTTTCTGAAACTGGCTTGAACCTCTGGAAGTTCTCTTTCAATGTATGGTTGCAGCCATTTTTGTATTATATTTAGTAAAATTTTACTTGCATGCAATATTAATGATATTGTCTGACGATTTCTGCATTCCGTTGGGTTACCTCTCTTTGGAATATGAATATGAATTTGGAATATGAATCTTTCCAGTCAGTTGGCCAGGAAGCTGTCTTCCAAATTTCTTGCATAGATGAGTAAGTGAGTGCCTCCAGTGCTGCATCAGTTTGTTGAAAGATTTCAGTTTGTATTCCATCAATTCCTGGAGCCTTGTTCTTTGCCAATGCCTTCAGTGCACCTTGGACAACTTCCTTTAGTACCATTGACCCTTGATCATATGCTACCTCTTGAAATAGTTGAATTTCAACCATTTCTTTCTTTCTTTTTCTTCTATGTCTCACAAAGATCATTTATCCATTTAATAAAGCCAAATTTTATTTCACTTGATTCTTTTTTAAAAAGCTTTTATTGTTTGTTCTTATCTATATGTTATCTATAGTTTATCCTGCCAGATAGTTTACATGGCAGAACATCAGTTTTGCACTCAACCAATCATATTTTGTTTCATTGCAATGATTACAATCCCCTCCATGTGCCATTGGTTAACAATATTTGCCTCTATTCCCTCTTTTTTTGATGTACACAAAATCACAACCAAAGGGCACATTTTGCAAACTAGATCTCTACCCGTCAGCACACAGCCTTTCTCTCTCTATGCCATCACCTTTACCTCTTCTTGTCTCTCTCTGGTGTCGCTGCTTCTCTGGTTAGGATACCAAGTTCTGCTCATGCTCTTCCCTCATTCTGGTTCTAAGGTCCTCTGTTCCTGGAATGTGAGATTAACTCCTTCCCCTTTTTGTCATGCAACTTCTAACTTTACGGATGTGACTATCACAATTATTCATGATAACTATTACTTACTATTGAATCAAAAGAATCTTATTCCCATCTCCTTTCACCAGAACCATCTAGACAAGATGAAAATTATTCGATGGGGATTCTACCTCCCCACGTCACTCTGAAACTAAACTCCCTCTTGAAAACTTGCAAGCCAGCCACTTTGTGCCTTTATAGTGCCCCCCCCCTCCCATTTTAGGTAGCCAATAGCTAAGTTGCCCATCCTTATCAGCCCTGTGTACAGAAGGGATAAGATTGATCCTTGATGTGAAAACACTTTCCCTCTTGGTTGGTATTTTGTGCTATTACATCTATAAGTAAAGGTCAAGTTCATCAAATTGTAGCAATTTACACTTGCTTCCTGTATCAAATTTATTTATCTTCCTCTAGTCGAGTTCTGATCATCAAACTATGTCAAATGGGTACTATCTGAAAATTTGCCAATCTTGAGCGCCTCCTTCCACGTCATATCAGCTGGAGGGTTCACTCACAGCTCTAGCCCCCAGTGGCTAGGTCAGTGTCCGTGGGCTCAGGGTCAACCATGTCTTTTGGGTACAGTGACTCTGTGTATTTCTTCCATCTTCTTTGGCTGCTTTCTGTACCATTCATATTTTGCACATGGTATCCTTCCATATTGCAAAGTGAGGCTTCAATTTTTTTCTTCAGTTCCCTCTCTCAGCTATAGAAATACTGAGTGTGTTCATCCTTTTTGGTTTTCTAACTCCAGGCTTTGCACATTTCATTAAAATATTTCACCTCGTCTTCATGAGCTGACCTTTGAAATTTTCTGTTTAGCTCATTCACGTCCTCATTTCTACCATTCACTTTAGCATCTCTACCCTGGAGAGCAAGTTTCAGAGTCTCTTCTGACATCTATTTTGGTATTTTCCTTCTTTCTTGTCTTCTTAATGACCTTTTGCTTTCTTCCTGTATGATGTTCTTTTTCTCTGACCAAATATGGTATCTTTCTCCAGCGACTGGTGCCTCCTGAAAATTTGTCCAAAGTATGAGAGACGAAGTTTCTCCAAGGACCACTCTGGGTGCACTTCTTATAACACAGATCTGTTGGTTCTATGAGCAGCCCATCACACTTTCAGTATTCTCCTCCAACATCATAACTCAAAAGCATCAATTCTTCTACGGTCTTCCTTATTCACTGTCCAGCTTTAACATGCATATGACGTTATTGAAAATACCATGGCTTGGGTCAGGCACACCTTTCAGTCTTCAAGCTGACATCTTCGCTCTTCAACACTTTATAAAGGTCTTGTGCAGCAGATTTGCCTAATGCAATACGTCGTTTGATTTCTTTACTGCTGCTTCCATGAGTGTTGATAGTTGATCCAAGAAGAACGAAGTCCTTGACAAATTCATTTTTTTTCTCCATTGATAAGAATGTTGTTTATTGGTCCAATGGTGAGGATTTTCATTTTCTTGACATTGAGATGCAATCCATACTGAAGACTATGCTCTTTGATCGTTATCAGTAAATATTTGAAGTCTTCTTCACTTTCAGCAACCAAGATTGTATCATCTGCATATCATTGATTATTAATGAGTTTTCCTCCAATCCTGATGCCACATTTGTCTTCATATAACCCAGCTTCTCAGATTATTTGCTCAGCGTACAGGTTGAATAAGTATGGCGAAAGAACACAACCCTGTCGCACACCTTTCTGAATTTTAAGCAATTCAGTGTTCTCCTGTTCTGTTCAAACAACTGCCTCTTGGTCCAGGTACAGATTCCTCATGAGCACAATTAAGTGTTCTGGAATGTTCATACTTCGTTATGTTGTCCATAGCTTGTCATGATCCAGAGAAAATGCAAATTAGCCAGCTACTGATCCCTTTTTTGGGTCAAATTGTATGGACACTTAGGATGGACATATTGGGATGGTCTGTTCTAGGGATCCCAATGATATTAATGGCCCTCAAGAGAATCGGACATCGAGTTATTGGAGACAATGAAAAGAACAAGCAGTTCTTGAACCTGGTGTGGCACTGTAGGATAAGCACTTGACTGCTAACCTTCTAGCTGCTACTCAGAAACCCTATACAGGGTCACTATGAGTCAGTATGAGTTGGATCCAACTCAACAGCACTTACCAACAACAACTATGTGCCAGACACTGTCCTAGGTGCTTTATAGGTGTTAGTGTTTTAGTCCTTAAGCAGCCCAATGGCATAGGCTTCATTCAGAGAGGCTAAGTAACTTGTCCAGCAACATACAGTTAGTGACGGAAGAGCCTGGATCCTTGTTTAGATATGTCTGACACCGTGATCCCTATAACCCCCCCACCCAGAGACACATTAAGAGACATGGGACCCTAGTTGGAGGTCAAAATCTGGAATGTAGTCATTCAGGGACTGCAAGTATAAGGAGACGTGTTTTCTGAAGATCTAACTCCCTATTTCTCTCCTCTCATTTCTGCTACCTGCAGACACCCTGTGGTGTTCCCCCATCAAGGTGAAGTATGGGGATGTGTACTGCAGGGCCCCTCAAGGAGGGTATTATAAAACTGCCCTGGGAACCAGGTGTGACATTCGCTGCCAGAAGGGTTATGAGCTGCATGGCTCTTCCCAGCTGATCTGCCAGTCAAACAAACGGTGGTCCGACAAAGTCATCTGCAAACGTGAGTACCCCGACCCTGTTTTGGGTTCTCGGGTTCAACATTCTTTTGCTCTGAGATCAGGACTTTATGCTGAATATGTTGTGGTCTTTGATGAGAAAAACTCTCCTTGTGAGTTAAAACCAGAGAAGGGTTTCTAAGAGATTGTGGAAGCGTGATGGCAGCTTTCAGAGAGCAGGGTGTGATCAAGTGTTTGGAAAAGAACAGAGCTTTGTAGAGCAAACAGGTTATGTTTGTTCACTAAGTGCTACATCCTGAAGAGGTATTAAGAATTAGAAACACAAGTCCCGCTGTCAAAATCTCACCAAATATTATCAGATACAGCGGGACAGAGGTGTCAGCTGTGAAATAAATATAAGAATGAAGCTAAGTCATAGACTCAGATTAGTGGGAGAGGCAGTAAACCCCCAGAAGGTGGGGATTAGGGAAGCAGAGAAAGCATCAGCAAAGAATTTAATGCTTATTCCATGAAGGGAGTGTGTTCTCCGGGCAGCAGAACACTTCAAGGGCTGACTTGGAGCATCATGAAACATCATATCCCATTTGGAAAACTGCAAGTGGCCCACCATTATGGAAGTGCATGTTAGCTGCCGTTGTTATTCAAAAAAATCACACATTTATTGATACCTCTGTGTGTGTGCGAAACACTTCATATACATTCACTTTTTGCAACAACACTTGAAATAGGTGTCCTTAATTAAGCTCTGGTAGCGTAGTGGTTACGAATCGGACTGCAAACCTTAAGGTCAGCGGTTCGAAACTATCAGCTGCTCCGCGGGAGAAAGATGAGGCTTTCTACTCCCGTAAAGATTTACACCCTCGGAAACCCTGTACAGGGTCGCTATGGGTCGGAACCGACTCGACGGCACTTAACAACAACAACAACAATTTAGCTTAATGTCCTTAATGGAGTCCTGGCGTGGCACTGTAAGATAAAACACTGGATTAAAAGGTCAGTTTGAACCACAAAGTCGGCAGTTAAAACCTACCTGCTGCTCCTTGGAGACCCTATGCAGGGTCACTATGAGTCAGAACCAATTTGATGGCGTTTAACAACAACAACAGCAACAATTTAGCTTGATTGGTCAGGAAACTGAGACTCAGGAAGGCAGCCAGGTGGCGTGTGTGCATTTATGTAGCTGGGAAACTGTGGTTGACACTGTTGACTCAGCTTGCCCTGAATCCCCATTTACCAGTTCTAGGTGCTTCCCAGTGCTTGCCTGCCAAGGGCTGGCACCTTTGACGTTCTTCAGAGAAAAAATGTGCTTTACTCTTTCAGAGGATTAGTCTCTGTTCTTACAAGAGAGAGAGAGCATCCTCTGTAGCAAGCCTGTAGCTGACCAGTGACAAGGAATATGGAATCCCATCTTTCTTGCTTGTGTTGTTGTGGTTGTTAAGTGCCGTTGAGTCAGTTCTGACCCATAGCGACCCTGCATAGGGTTTCTGAGGAGTGACTGGTGAGCTTGAACTGCCAACCTTGCATTTCAAACTGACTTTGCGGTCCAGCGCATTAACCCACAGCGCCACACCAGAACAACCTCAGATGACATTCATGCTCTACATGAATGTGGGATTGGGCTGAGGCTGATTTTGTTCTAGAATAGACATTGCTTACTTGGCTTCTCCCTTTCATGCTCCGTCATTCCCTCACTGGTCTCCCCAAGGAGCGCTTAATAAATTACTTGCACAAAATCCCTTATCTCAGGTCTATTTTTGAGGGACTCAAGGAAGTCCTGGTGTGGCGCTGTGGGTTAATGCGCCAGACTGCAAAGAAAGTCATTTGAACTGCAAGGTCGGCGGTTCAAGCTCACCAGTTGCTCCTCAGAAACCCTATACAGGGTCGCTATGGGTCGGAATCTACTCGAAGGCACTTCACAACAACCTCAGATCGTGTCCTAGTTGGAATGCTGACCAAAGCTTGATGGAAAACTTGCTGCTACTTCTATTGTGATATTCAACCACCCATTGTTTCTTCAACCTCCTCTTTTATATTTAAATTCACTTGTTACCCAATGCTTTCAGACTTTCTGAATATTAAGTACACATCTCTGGACAAAAAAACCCCCACAAAAAATCACATAAAAAACCAACCCTAAGAAATGCTGAATATCTAGTTTTCTCTTTTTTAGAAAAGCGATGTCCTACCCTTGCCATGCCAGCAAATGGAGGGTTTAAGTGTGTAGATGGTGCCTACTTCAACTCCCGGTGTGAGTATTATTGCTCTCCAGGATACACACTGAAAGGGGAGCGGACAGTCATATGTATGGACAACAAGGCCTGGAGCGGCAGACCAGCCTCCTGTGTGGGTAAGAATATGCCGCAGTCTTCAAAATCCACATGCTTTGAGAGGAACAGGGAGTGTTCATACAGTGAAGTTGTTTTGTGGTGTTTTTTTTTTTTTGGAAAATTTATTCATTAACTTTTATTATAATTTATTCTTTTTTGTTTTTGTTGAAAATATACACAGCCAGACACACACTGATACCACATCACTACATGTACAATTTAGTGACATTGAGCGCTTTCAAGCTGTGCAACCACTCTCACCCTCTTTTTCCAAATGATTCCTCCACCACTAACATGAAGTCACTGAGCCCTAAATTTCGTCTTTAACCTTTTCAGTTGCTATTGTCAATTTGATCTGCAGTGCTCAAGGCAGACATTCTGTGTTGGTTAAGTGCTTGGCTGCTAATCAAAAGGTAGGCCCTTGAAACCTAAGGAGTGAATTCATGAGAGAAAGACCTGCATCTCTGCTTCTGTGACGGTTACAGCCAAGAAAGCCCGATGTGGGCATTTCTACTCTGTCATGTGGGCTAGGGATGAATTGGAATCGACTCAATGGCACTCAACCATAGCCTCATTGTTTGGTTTAAAGAAGACATCAAGGGATGGTTTTGGTTTAAGGATTATCCCCTGGGTGAAGCACCCAGCTTTGCTTTCAGTAGCTGTCTTCATCCCTAGTTCTCTTGCTCACCCCTAGAGTTAACCGTAGTTTCTGTACTCAAAATGATCTCACAGTTGATGGTGTTCAGCTGACTTTGTCTCTTTCTTGGCATGCTGTTGAGTCAGCTACAGTCTGGCAGAGGGATGGCATACCCCTACCATGTCCTGTAGCATTGAGCAGAATAATTGACGTTTGCAGGCTCTGTCCTGAACAGGGGCATCTACATTTTGTTTGTTTGTTTGGTTTTCAGCTGAGCAGAAATACTTCCTTTGTCATTGACTCTGGGGCTCAGCACTTACTTTACTCAGTTGAGAGTGATGTGGGTTTTTCATCTTATTCTGGGTTTATTAGGCAGCAGTTCTCACCATCACCACCACCATCATCATCACCACCTTGGAAATTATTAGAAATACAAATTCTCCACCCTACCCCAGAACTGGGATAGGACCCAGTTCTGTGTTTTAACAAGCTCTCCAGAGGATTTTAATATGTTTACAGTTGAGAGCCATTGTTCTAAGGCAGTGCTTCTCAAACTTTAATGAGCATAGGAATCACATGAGGATCACAGTAAAAGTGCAGATTTGAATTGAGGAAGTCTAGTCAGCCTGCAGTCTCTAACTGTTAAGAACTCAGCTGCTAACTGAGGGTTTCTGGTTTGAGTTCACCTACAAGCACTTCCCCCCACCCCCCACCCCC